TCAGCCGCACTTTTCACTTCAGTTGTTGGTTTGTCCTTATTACAATAGTTCTTTCTTTCCTCCTTTTAGTAACACACTGAAATAAAACTAAAACATAGTTTATACTTTTTTAAGCAAAACAAACCAACCACCAGAAAGATTATTTTCGGATCCCTGGAATGGATCAAGTCTTTTCAAGACACTGAATTAGAATCCCTTACAGCTGCTAATGATACTGTAGCTAACATTAAGTCCTGGGGCTTGGCGAGGGGTAGAGTAGGTCATTTCTGGGTGTTTGTTTCTCAGCTACCTAGAGGGCTCTCTGAATATATAGAACCACCATCTCTGATGGTGTTCCAGTGCCCCCTGAGGGCTTTGAAGTGTAATGAAAGCTCACAGGAATGCAGCTTCATATGAAGTAATTCACTGTGCAGAAGCAAAGCTGGACATGTTACTCCAAGGATCACGAAATCAAGATTAACTGCCAGTCATCAGGAAACCTAAAGTCATTTAAAGTAAGAGGTGCCACTGCCAGAAGATAGAAGCCATAAACACATACAATATTAATAAAGCAATTACAGTAAGTGGTAGAACATTCTGGTTTGCAAATCTCTTGCCACTTCAAGAAACATCTGTCTCCGCCACTAGAAATTACTGTTAAAAAAACCAAACCAAACAAAACAAGCTGTGCTTTGTGTTTTAGCTTTGCATTCAGTATCTTGATCAGTCGGTCTGCTGCCAAAGCTTCAATACCAATTTCATAGCTTATTCCCTGGGTTGGTTTCCAACCAATGTAGCCAATTGTGCTTATGGTAGGCAGAGGAGCAATTAGCTGATCCACTGTATTGTGCAAACTGCCTGAATCCAATCACACATAGCATCTCAGGAGGGTGAGTAAGAAATTCGAGTGACCAGATGAATTCTTATTTACTAGAAACTGACTTGGGCCTTAACTTTCCCAGTGCTTGAAAGTTGTTCCTTTTTTTCCTTTTTTTTAAATTTATGTACTTATTTATGCATTGAGAGAGTGAGAGAGAAAGGCACCCTTAGTAGATCTCATGCCATGATCCTCCCCTGAGCCTCGCCAGCTAGAATCATGAGCATGCATGTGCGAGCCTAGTGTGTATAAGTCAACTTTGAGAATCCAGATTCTCATTTTCATATAGATCCAGCATCTCAGAGCTGTGTGCCACCTCTGGGCTACTGGGGATGGTTCTGGTTTCTGATTAAAAAAAAGAAATCAATTCTGGGCCAGCCCCATAGCCCATTGGTTAAGCGTAGTGCATAGGAACCCGATCACATCCAGCTGACCACAGTTTGTTTCCCTGCACTGAGGCTTGGAGAACACACCAGGCTCATGTGCATGTGTGCCCCACATCCTGGTGGGGCTGACAAATGGAGGAAAGGGAAGCAGCAGGGGTTGCTCGCTCTCTCCTCTCTTCCTCTTGTCTGTGACCCTGCCCTCAGGCAATAAAAATGTAAATGCTCGTGTTTATTTTCAGTGCACAAGCCAGATACTTTGTTAGTAATCAATAAAATTCAGATGTGCCCGCAGAAGATGGACGCATAGAAACAAATGAACACATTTTCAGAAAACCCTAATCCGTGTCTGTGTCCATTTGAAGGTGAATGACACAAACTCTCTAAGATGTTCATTTTCTTCAATTTAAAATAGGGTTTTCGAAATTCTTGTGACATCTGAGTCAAAAGGAATCAATCTGGAAGTGTTCTTGAAAATGCCTTGTATAGGGGCCAGTGGGTGGCAAGATTGTTAAAACTGTGGTGGATCATGGTTTGAGTCCCAGAACTGGCTGCTTGCTTTCTCACTTTTTCTCTCTCTTTTTCACCATCTCACTGTGATGAAGGCATGTACCTTATAGCAAACTCTTAAAAATAAATAAATAAATAAGTGTAAATACATAATTATAAGAAGAAAATGCCTTATATAAGTGGATATTCAAAAAACTCATGGAAAGTACATATTAAAAAGAACTGCATTGATTTCAAATGTGTTTACATCAATATCAACTTAAATTTTTAGGATTTTTTTGGAGAGGTTTTTTCTATAGGGCACATATGCTTGTCAGAAAGGCAGAGAGAGACAGAGAGATAGAAAGCGAGAAATCATCCCCAGGGTTGATAGCCACACTGCAATCCCTTCTCCTCCATTCTCCTCTTGGGATCTTGGGCATGCACGTACATGTGTCCAGCATGAGTTTAAGCCACGGAATCTGGGACTTGAGCTGTGGTTGACTACATGGGAGTCTAGTGACATAGCCATTATACTAACAGCTGGTTCCTGTACTTTTAATTTTTTTTTAATGGGGTTTTTGTCTTAGAGTATGAGCACTCACCAGAGAGAGAAAGAGAGATAGAGAGAGGGAAAGTAAGAAATCACCCCCCAGGGGGAATGGCCACTTCTCAATCCCTTCTCTTCCATTCTCCTGGGATCTTGGGTGCACATCCACACTTACCTGGGTGATTTTCAAGCCACTGAGTCTGGGGCTCGAACCATGGTTGGCCATGTGGAAGTCCAGAGAAGTGACTGCTATAACATCTGCTAGTCCTTCAGGTTGTATTTTAATTCCATGTTTTTAAATGACCTTTTTGAGTTCCATTGTATATTGTAGAGATTTATAACAATGTGAATTTTCCATGTGTTATTGATAGTTTAACTTGGAATATCACCTGGTTTCTTGGGGAATCATTGAGAAGAAAAGAACCATATGCATAAGTAATATTGAACTCAAATAGGCCCGTCTGTTAAAAAGGAAACATAAAACAAAACAATGTGACTAGAATAGAGGGAATGAAGAATTGCTTCAGTCCTAAGGAAGAGTGAAAGATAAGAAGTTAGTCACAGTTTCTTAAATGAGAGATTATAGTAGAAATAAAAGTTTGAAGGTGGGACCAGCAGTTAGCATAATGGCTATGTCGTTGTATTCCCATGTAGTCGACTGCAGTTCAAGTCCCAGACCCGGCGGCTTAAACTCACACCAGGCGTGTGTGCATGTGTGCCCAAGATCCCAAGAGGAGAATGAAAGAGAAGGGATTAAGAAGTGGCCATTCCCCCTGGGGGGTGATTTCTCGCTTTCTGTCTCTGTTTCTCTCTTCTTTCTGGCAAGCACACATGCCCTATAGCAAAAACCTCTCCAAAAGAAAAAAAAAAAGTTAGAAGGTTCACTCACTTGAGGTTTTTTGTTTCATTTTAGTTTTGCTATGGGGCATGTGCACTGGCCAGAGAGAGAGAGAAAGGGCAAGTGAGAAATCAACCCCACGGGCAGGGGATATGGCCACACCACAATCCTTCCTCCTCCAGTCTCCTCTCAGGATTTTGGGCATGCGCACACACACATGCCTGGTGTGATTTCCACTAGATCTGGGACTGAGACCGTGCAGTCAGTCATGCAGGATCGAACACCTTAACTTCCATGACACTTGCTGACCCTAACTTGAGGTTTTAACAAATTATAGAATTGTGTATTTGAGCAAATAATTATGTTAAAGAGTTATTCACTGAAATATTTGACTTATGAACCTTTAGAAAGAAGGTAAATCTCTTTTTCTTTAGACTCCTTTTCTATGCTTTTCACAAAGTCCTAATTTATCACCAAATCTCTCTTCTTGCTATAGCTCCCTCTTTTGTTTTAAAAACAATTTTCTTTCAAGAGCAAGAGAGAAGGAGAGAAATCACCCCTGACAGAGTTTTGACACCACAATCCACCCTGAACCTCAACAAGCCCTGGATCATGAACACACACATGCTCAGCATATTCATGGAGGTCTCTGGACACCACCTCAGAACCTTGCCATGTAGGTCAACCTTGTGGGGTGGGGGGGTTGCATTTTTACGGTTGGACCACCATCTGCAACCTCTTTTTGCAATATTACTCTGGAAATGGGCTTCCTCTTTTTATTCTTCTTCCCTCTGATTCTGCTCAGGTGATCTTAATTTTTACTTGTACTACTAGGGCCTCCGGAATGATCTGTCTCTGGTCTCTTTTTCCTTTGATCTGGTTTCTAAATTTGTTCCAGAATGACCTTTCTAAAATTCAGACCTGACAAGTAACTTCCCTTTAAAAAACCCTTCATCACCTACTGCACTAAGCTCAAGCACTTCAGTTGGCCTGCAAAGCCTTTATGACATGGCCCATTGCCTAACTTTTTGGCTTCTCATAATTCCCCACATACAATCCTATCCTTTCAGACTACTTGCTGTTCCTAGAACGTGATGTTCTTTGGGGCTTTCTTTCAGTATGCCATTCCATTGCTCTTTACTTCTGTTCACCGGACCAATCACATTTTATCCTCTTCCACCTAGCCTGTTAGATAACCTGGGTCAGAAATGGAGTGGTCACTTCTGACTGTGCATATTTGCTTTAGAATATCATTCTCAGCATACATAAATCACAGCATTGTAATGAAGTGGAAAGAACAGAGCTTTGGAACTCTACAACTTGGATTTGAATCCTAGCTTAAAATGTACTTCCTATGGCAAGTTATTTATACTCTTGGAACCCCAGTTTCCCTATTTCCCAAATTAGAATAAAAATCCCCAAATTTTTAAGGATTAGCGATCTCATATATGAAATACCCCCTGCTGTACTTGGCTCATGGAGGGGGGGGTCAATAAATGCTAGCCACAGTATACTATTTAGTAACTGTTTTGTTAACATATTTGTCTTCCTAAACTATGACCTGTTTGAGAATAAGGATTATCACTTATTTTTGTCTTGTTCATCTTTCTGTCCCCAGCACCTACCAAAGTGCCTGACCCATGGAAAGTGTACACTAAAGATATATTCATAGGCTCAATAAATAAATAAAAGATACATGAATGATGAAATTTCTAAACCTTAGGACTCTTGAGAATTTGTACTATCGCAGGATTAGAAATAATGCCATAGATAATGCGTAAATCTCAAGCACATTTACAATGCAAGGCCTGTAGCCAGGGCTAAACATTTGAACCAGGAGGTTGTGGCATTGGCAGGTTCGAGGAGATTTAAGCTGCAGCCAGGATGATCAAGGTGGTTGGCAATGACCATCTGGGGAAGACGGTCTGCGTGAAATGTAACACAGATGACACCATCGGGGACCTTAAGAAGCTGATTGCAGCCCAGACTGTCACCTGTTGGAACAAGATCGTGCTGAAAAAGTGGTACACGATTTTCAAGGATCATGCATCTCTGGGGGATTATGAAGTCCATGATGGGATGAACCCGGAACTTGATTATCAGTAGAACAGAAACCCTTTTCCCTGCTCCACCCCTCCTCTTCGCCCACCTTCATCCCCCACACTGGTGTAGATGCTTGTTTTTAAATCTCACGTTAATAAAAACTCAGATGCTGAAAAAAAATATAAATAAATTTGCTGCTCTTTGAGCTTTGCTGTGCTGAGAAATTAGCATGTCTGGTAGCTGTGTGTCTTTCCTAAGGACACACTACTACCAATGGGCAATGGAAGTTTTATTGTAGCAGTCTGGCATTATCTTCCTTTCTTCTCTGGTTGTTTGAGCACTGAATCCATGATGGCTAGTTAGCATTGTATTATTAACCGTCATGTGGAGAGTAGTGTGTGAAACAGGAAGTAGAATGAGAAACAGATGACCAGTCAAGTAGAAGCCAGATCCAATTCACATTGATAACTTGTGTATTACTCTGCAGGGAATGAAAAGTAGGCTTTAACTAGGGAGATGAAAGAACCAGATGTGTGATTTAGATACATCTCATGTTGAGGCTCTGTAAAGGATGTTTCTGAAGGAAGGACATCTAAAGGAGGAACATCGGTTAAGATGCTGTTTTATAATATTCATGGTGGTCAGGGTCAGCTTCAGAGGTATGTGACCTCTGCAATTGCATAGGATCCCATACTTAGAGAAGCTTTGTATTTGGTTTAATGCCCTATTGTTACTGTCATGAAACTATGACTACATTTTGAAAAAGGGGTCCCACATTTTCATTTTGCATTTGACTCTGCAAATTATTCAACTGGTCCTGGCAGGGGAGTAATGTAGTAGGGGAGAAATCGTATCAGATGAAGCAGTACTTCGATTCGTGTTTGTTCCTCTATGCTTCTCTGTGTATGTAACTTCCTTCTACCTGTTCTGAGTGTTGTGGGTGTTTAGGGGAGGCATGTGAAGATGTTTGCAGCCCAGACTGTCACCTGTTGGAACAAGATCGTGCTGAAAAAGTGGTACACGATTTTCAAGGATCATGCATCTCTGGGGGATTATGAAGTCCATGATGGGATGAACCCGGAACTTGATTATCAGTAGAACAGAAACCCTTTTCCCTGCTCCACCCCTCCTCTTCGCCCACCTTCATCCCCCACACTGGTGTAGATGCTTGTTTTTAAATCTCACGTTAATAAAAACTCAGATGCTGAAAAAAAATATAAATAAATTTGCTGCTCTTTGAGCTTTGCTGTGCTGAGAAATTAGCATGTCTGGTAGCTGTGTGTCTTTCCTAAGGACACACTACTACCAATGGGCAATGGAAGTTTTATTGTAGCAGTCTGGCATTATCTTCCTTTCTTCTCTGGTTGTTTGAGCACTGAATCCATGATGGCTAGTTAGCATTGTATTATTAACCGTCATGTGGAGAGTAGTGTGTGAAACAGGAAGTAGAATGAGAAACAGATGACCAGTCAAGTAGAAGCCAGATCCAATTCACATTGATAACTTGTGTATTACTCTGCAGGGAATGAAAAGTAGGCTTTAACTAGGGAGATGAAAGAACCAGATGTGTGATTTAGATACATCTCATGTTGAGGCTCTGTAAAGGATGTTTCTGAAGGAAGGACATCTAAAGGAGGAACATCGGTTAAGATGCTGTTTTATAATATTCATGGTGGTCAGGGTCAGCTTCAGAGGTATGTGACCTCTGCAATTGCATAGGATCCCATACTTAGAGAAGCTTTGTATTTGGTTTAATGCCCTATTGTTACTGTCATGAAACTATGACTACATTTTGAAAAAGGGGTCCCACATTTTCATTTTGCATTTGACTCTGCAAATTATTCAACTGGTCCTGGCAGGGGAGTAATGTAGTAGGGGAGAAATCGTATCAGATGAAGCAGTACTTCGATTCGTGTTTGTTCCTCTATGCTTCTCTGTGTATGTAACTTCCTTCTACCTGTTCTGAGTGTTGTGGGTGTTTAGGGGAGGCATGTGAAGATGTAAGAGTTGTAGTAGAGTAACAAACAGGTGGAGAGTTAATATTAGTGGGACCAGCAGTTAGCGTAATGGCTATGTCACTGGACTCCCACGTAGTCGACCGCGGTTCGCATCCTGGACCCGGTGACTTAAACTCACACTGGGCGCGTGTGAGTGCGTGCCCAAGATCCCGAGGGGAGAATGGAGGAGAAGGGATTGCGGCGTGGCCATCCCCCCTGGAGGGTGATTTCTCGCTTTCTGTCTCTCTGTCTCTCTCTGTCTGTCTGGCGAGCACACGTGCCCTATAGGAAAAACCTCTCCAAAAAAAAAAAAAAAAGAGTTAATATTAGTCTCTGGCCTTCTATAAAGAAGTTTTGAGGTCTTTATCGAGGCATTGAAAAGTCAGGATTTAGTGATGCAAAATGACTATTTGTGTTCCATTATCTTTCCCTGACTAAAATATAAAATTTTATTTATGCCTAAGTTAAGGGTAGCAACATGTAATGAAAGTAGGAAGGCCCTAAACCAATTCCTTCTAGCCTGAGAGATTGTGACAATGAGACATCAGAGGGGGCGTGAAAGGGAGCATAGCTTCCTGGCTCTGAATTTCACCTACCAGGCGAGGGTTCACACACGGAGACTAATGATGATTCTGCAGCTTGCACCATCAGCTTCTCAGCATGACCCTCGTGTCCAGATGACTGGCACGTGCTCCTTTCCTCCTCACCAAGACTCCCAAGCTTTGCTGGAGTATGTGACGCTGGAGCACAAGAAAGGAAGTCCCAAGAGTGACTGAGGTTGGATTTCCTGATAACCTCTTGGGATGAGTGATTGGAGTCACACTTAGTTAATTAAAATAAAGCATGATTCCTCTTGTCATCTAAAAAGGAGGTTGCAAATTTATACCTCTTGCATGTATGCTTTATGGCACTAAGAAGACAGAAATAGTAAAATGAAGTCTTAATCTCTCCACATTTCTTTCTTCATGAGAGTCGTCCTAAGTATGTTAAATTGAAGAATTATATTCATTCCTTAATATAAAAACTTAACAGATCTTTATTAGGAATTGTCCAACTGTAATACAAGGGGTCTTCAAGAAGTTCATGGAAAATGAGTATTATGAAAAATTATGCACAAATTTCAAAACTTTTTTTGCATAAAATAAACTTAATTTAAAAAAAAAAAAACATTTACTATAGGATGTGCACTCACCAGAGAAAGAGAAAGTGAGAAAGTACTCCCCTCCACCACCACCAGGGGGATGACCCAATGCCTTCTCTTCTTGGGATTTTGGGCAAACAACCCACATGTGCTCAGCATGTTTTTCAAGCCACAGAGTCCAGAACTCAAACCATATAGTTGGCCATACAGAATCCAGCTGCCTTAACCACTATGCCACCAGCTGGCCCTAAACTCATACTTTAATTTTTTTCCATAAACTTTTTGAAGTCCTCTTGTACATATTAATAATTACATATGGTTAAAATGAGTGTTTTTCACATTTTTAAACTCCTGTAATTGGGAATTAACATTATAATGCTTTATCCTACCTTCCTTGCAATTTTGTAAGTTTCCTTTTTATTTTTACACAATTATTTGTTGTCTTGGGATCCTAAAGGACAATAGTAACTACCAACATAAAGAGCAGATTTAATCCCACCTCCCATATTGGTATGCCTATGTTAGGAAGACAAACATGAAGCTTCTGCAATTCTCAGTGATGTGCAAAATTCAAGAGTGCCTTTTCCTGCTGCAGAAAGAATTGCCCCATCACTGTTTTGCATTAATTATATGTGCTTTTTGCAAACATTGTATGAAGGATTAAAATAGTGATGGCGCTCTGCCTGGACATTTCTCACTATCCACATACTCTGAGTGATGCCACCTCATATCTCACACATGATCAGAAACCTGTCCCTGAGCGGCTATTTCTGATAGCTGGCCTACTGCGTTAGAGCCTGTCATCGATGTCTTCTCTCATCTGTAATTGTCCTATGGGCTGACAAGCAGTAATGCCTGTTTTCAAAGTTTTTACTTTATTTGGCCAGCTATTGGAATAAAATATGTCCATTCTAGAAATTATGAAATGCAAAACTCTATAGATGCAAAACTCTAGCCAGAGAAACAGACAGAAAGTGAAGAATAAAATTTTTTCTTATAAACAACTTATAATTTTTACTCTCATTTATTTTAGGTATTTTTCATTGTTTGTTTGTTTGTTTTTGGTTAACTCATAGATAGTTCTACTAAAGGCGAAGCTTATGCCAGAAATTGCTTTATAGTAATTTAATCTTCGTATCCCTACAAATTCTTTAATTTTCAAGACTTTTTTTTTTTGATGAGAAAACGTCAGTTTTCATAGTGATCAAGCAACTTTTATAACATCACACAGGAAATAAAGGGCCCAGGTAGGGTTTCAACCCAGGGCTGCTAAATTTTTCATTCTTTTCTTCTTCTTCCACAGTAACTAGAGTGCATATACACTTACAGAGAAGGGAGAGAGGGAGAGAGAGAGAGCTAGAAGGAAAGTGACACTTAGTTAATTAAAATAAAGCATGATTCCTCTTGTCATCTAAAAAGGAGGTTGCAAATTTATACCTCTTGCATGTATGCTTTATGGCACTAAGAAGACAGAAATAGTAAAATGAAGTCTTAATCTCTCCACATTTCTTTCTTCATGAGAGTCGTCCTAAGTATGTTAAATTGAAGAATTATATTCATTCCTTAATATAAAAACTTAACAGATCTTTATTAGGAATTGTCCAACTGTAATACAAGGGGTCTTCAAGAAGTTCATGGAAAATGAGTATTATGAAAAATTATGCACAAATTTCAAAACTTTTTTTGCATAAAATAAACTTAATTTAAAAAAAAAAAAACATTTACTATAGGATGTGCACTCACCAGAGAAAGAGAAAGTGAGAAAGTACTCCCCTCCACCACCACCAGGGGGATGACCCAATGCCTTCTCTTCTTGGGATTTTGGGCAAACAACCCACATGTGCTCAGCATGTTTTTCAAGCCACAGAGTCCAGAACTCAAACCATATAGTTGGCCATACAGAATCCAGCTGCCTTAACCACTAT